ACTTCCTCTTTGTAGAGGTTTGGCCTGGGATACATTCTGTCTGGAGAATTTCTCCACCTCTAAAATGGACTCAATGTATCAAACTCAGAATTGTTTGGAACTGTTGTAAAATTAAGTGAGATGGTGTACAAAAAGCAATCACAACAGAGTTAGGCCCCGAGTTCAGTTGAGGGAAGTTGCAGTTGAGAGGAAAACAGAGAAGAGAGTTCCCCTTAGCGGTTATATAAACACTCCCTTAAAAGCTGGGTTTTGCAGATATTATCGTCATCATCATTTAGCCAAGAGTGGGTGAAAGTGAATTACCTGAAGTCCGAAGAGCGGGTCCTAGGGAAATACCCCTCCTGTGTGGCAGGCAGGGGTGTGGGAAGGCCAGGGTCTCAGCAGACAGAGGTGGGGCTAACCCACTGATTGCCTCTCCCAAGAAAGCCAGATTTTAGAAAGGCAAAGTGCTTCTTCACCCCTCTCTCTCGGGCTCCCCACACACTACACGGTGAGGACTCAGGAATACTGTCGTTCAGTCTGAGGTGAAGTTGGAGAGGTTGATATAGCAGGTCAAGCGACAACTCTGTGAACGTGAAGAAGGTCCATACAGTGCACTTCATGCACTTCAGTGAGTGATGAGAGCCCAGAATGACTGGGAGCAAGCGGGCAAGAAGACAGGCCGGTCCACTCCAGGGCACCAATGCCAGCCTCCCCCTCCTTCCCACTGACTCTTCCCCATGGAAGGTGGAGCTGCACATGGTGTGCCCTCCTCACACACAGAGAAGCTGCCATTGCCTCCCATCTCAGCATGCCCATCTGATGAGGCCACGTTTCTCAGGTTTCTCACCTCCCACTCTGTGATGTAAATATTATCACCATATAATGAGAACACTGGAAGCTCACAAGTTGTCTCTTCACATCTCTCAAGCTGTGACTCCTCTCCACACCTGGAGGAACCCATCTGCCATCAATGCCCATGGTCACTCAGCAGGGAGGCTCACTGGCCATGAACCCAGATTCGTATCCCAGCATGGCCGCAACGCTAGAACCACGGCAGACCACATCACCTCAGGTCCTTCCAAGCCCCGTGGCTCTCCAGTATGTTGCAAACATTCTCACTGAAAATGTAAATACTTTGAAAGGTTGTAAATTTAAAACCAGGCAGAATTTGGGCACAGTCCCATCAGAATAAGCCCCGCCAGGACAACCGTCAGTTTATCTGGTGCTGCCATGGATGGATTATTCATGCACACAGGTCATTCAGCCATCCAAAGCCCAGACTCCCACCATCAGCCTTCACAGCCTTGTGAAGGGCACAAGGTTCCTTAAAACAGATGAAAGAATCTGAGCTCTTCAGGGGGTCGAGTTGAACTTCCATCCATATTTTGCGGACAAGGGCTTTGTCAAATCCCCTCACTGTCTGGGGGCAGGGACATTATTCATGTGGACAGCCTGTCCTGGGGGCCTACCCTCCAGAGACTGGACCACAAGCCATTCCTAAATGTGCGGACATGGGGGTGCTCAGTCACCCTCTCATGGGCTGAGCCCCTTCCTCCTGGCAAGAGCCCAGTTGTGAGGGCGACAAGAACAGAGAGTCAGTGAGATACAGGTTGTTATGTAACTACCAGTTTCCTCACTCATAAGACGAGGGAACAATACCTGGGAAGCTCCTAGGGAGTGTGGGGCCAGGTAGGTGGTGCCACCTCGTCACACACGAGCAAGATCAGGCCAACATGGGAGATCATGGGACACCTGGGGTTCATCTCGGGCACTAATTTACCAAATACCTTGTGAAACTCCTGAAAGCTGGAGTTTTGCCCAAGAAAAAAAAAGGATCTAAATTCAGACAGTGGTGGGGAGTGCGGCTTCCTTATGGTGGCAGAGTCTGCGTCAGGCCTTCATGAAAGGGATCCCCAACCCAATTTCCCAATACACAGACACACACACACACACACACACACAGAGCTTGTGATTCAGGGTTAATCTCAGAAGATTGCCCAGGACACAGGCTCTTGACATAATTGCAGGCCTTCAAGTGGTCACTAGAGGGCTCAGGAGGGCACTGAGGCTGCTGCCCCAGGGACAGCCCAGGACAGGGACAGGCTGGGAAACAAGATAGGGCTGGAGGGAGAGGGAAGAGAGATAGGGGTGCAGGTGACCAGCTATGCTGTGGAAGGGCAAGATGGCTTCCCACAGAAGCTTCCCATCACCTCCTCAGGATACAGAATGGCCCAGAGAATGCCCCCACCCCTCACTCCAGGGCTCCCAGAAGTGACAGCATTCGTGAACAACCTCCTCACAGAGAAACACTGTGTACCCAAATTTCTTGAACCACTAGTTTCCCACCTCTCCTCTATCACCAAATGCAAAAATGTCCCTGAAGCTGTCTAGCACCCTGATCTATAAGAGCCTGCAGGCAGCATCCAGCCATGGGGAGGAACCCATTGGCAGGTGGAAATAGCATCTGCTGTGGGTTTACTATAGCCTGGGTTCAAATCCTACTTTATATAAATGTACAATGCCAGGAAAATTGCTAAGTCTTTTCTTCATGTGTAAATGAAGGATTATTCTCTCCCTTAACAGCCTCCATGAGAATTGACTGAGGTCACACAAGGGAGATATAATTTGAGAATACAAAACTGACCCACCAGGATTTACCCAGTGGGGCTGCAGGATTCATTGCTCCTACAGCTAACTTTTCTTTCTCCCTGTGCTCCTTTCTGCCCTCCTCCCCATTCCTTATCCCACCCAAGCCCCAGGCCTATGGAGAGTCCTCCTTAGTCCTGTCCTCTCAGAGTTCAAGCCCAAGGGGACAATCTTGGAGCAGTACTTTCTCCCAGCAGGACCAGCTGTGAAGTGTAATTAAAACCATGGGTTAATTAGGAGTGGCAGCCATCTTGCCAAGAGCAGAACCTTGTCACAGTTCATCCAGTGTCCAGAGCACCATCAAGTCTCAGAGGTCCCGCACCACCTCCCCCACCCCTCCACCCCTCCACGCCAATGCTAGAGAGCTCCAGCTAAGTCACACTGGGCTTGCCATCACTCAGCTCTGATAATTTCTCTTGCAGTTCATTCTCTCATCGTTCCCCACTAGTCTAACTTAAATTGTCCCCTATACAGATTGGGGGAAGGATGTGTATTAGGGTTTCCCCAAAGGTGCCCTGAGAAGTAATCTTAGAGAAAGGTAGAACCTTAAGTCCCACCCCTGCCCCCCAATCATGATGAGATGTGTTAGAATCCACAGGATGGAGCCAGGGACAGAGGCAACACAGTGTACAAAGGCAGAGAGGAAAGGGAGAACACACCCACCACGAGAGAGACCAGTGAGACGGGGCTGGCGGGGGAGAGAATGTGTTTCAGGAGAAAGCCAATACACCTGGCCTGGGCTGGAAGCCTGGGGCTGCCTAATCGGTACCTAGTAACTCCGCGTCTCAGTCACCCCATCTGTAAAATGGGGTAATAAAATCATACTTACTCTTATACTCTCACAAGCTAAAATATATCCAGCTTTTGAAATGGTCTGACCCTCTAACAGGGTGTCCCTGTTTATCCCATGAAGCCAAAGAGCAGCAATAGAAAGGAGAGAAAGCAAAACTTCAGGAGTGAGAGATATCTGGGGAAGAGAAGTGTTGGAGGAGAAAAACACTGACTAAAAAGGCACCCACAGATTTGGGGACTTCTCTAGTGAACCATCCAGTTCTCTCTCCAGCTTGGCTCTGGCCTCTCTCTTAGGTGTAGGATTCCATGAAGCGTGAACAGCATGGGCACAGGAGACCAGAGCAGGAGCCGATGGAACCTGCAAAAGCTCCAGTTGCTCCAAGTGAGCTCAAGCCACTTGGTCCAGCTGCACATGTAAATGAGGCTCCCACAGCTGTGGGGATCTCCCAGAGTCCTGACAACATCTTGGCAAGCACTGAGGAAGGCCTCAGGCAAGCCGCACAACTGTTGCATCTAGAAAGGGGTCTGAGGTGCTTTTGCAGACCTCAGAGAGGGAAGCTCAGTGTACCTCCTGAGAAAAATTCTTGAAGAGACTGTAAATGAAGGGTGCCGGGCACTTGGGAAGGGCAGCGAGACCCCAGTCACATAGTGTATGTTCGATAATAAGGTCCTGTCAGGCACAGCTCATCTCCTCCTTGACAAGGTCACAGGGCTGGTAAATCAGGAAAGTGGGGTTTGCCTTTGCAGCTGATCTTGAAAATATCTGACAAGCTCCTTGTGAAATTGTGTACAAGCTAGAGAAAGGAAGTTAGGAGGTGGCAGGATTTGTGGGATATGTAACTGTGGTGCAATCACACCCAAGGGCATTACCAATGGCTCAAGGGTATTATAATGCCTTGGAGAGAAATACCTGGGTGTGTGCTGTAGGGCTCTGACCTATACCAGTGCCTGTGCATCAACATATCAATTCCCTGGGTCAATAGGTGGGAAGTGTTGAAGCTGGGAGCAACAGCAGATATATATTGGCTGTCAAAGACAGGATCTGAAATATTTTAATCAGTTGGAGAGATGGCCTGAGCTTAGACAAGATAAAATAAATTAGGGAAAAAATGTGAATTCTTAAACAAAATTTGCTACAGTCGAGTTAACGATTAAATTGTGTCCCTCTAAAACATGTAGGTTCAAGTTTTAACCTCCAGAACTTCAGCATGGACCTAATTTAGAAATAGTGTTGTTGCAGAAGTAATTAGTTAAGATGAGGTCACTGGAGTAGGGTGGGGCCCTAATTCAGCATGACTGGTGTCCTTATTAAAGGGGAATTTGAAGACAGGCACACAGAGAGAACGGCAGGCAAAGATGGCGGCAAAAGAGCAGGGTGTTGCATCTTGCAGCTCCAAAAGGGGCCTCTCAACTTCCTGCCTGGCACCACCCATCCAGGCCTCTTCCTCATTTATAGGATGTTTGGTGCCAAGATCTCTAACAGAAAAAAATTGCACTCTGAGGGTAGGAAGTGTAGACCCAGGAACCTCACAAGTGGGTCTGGTAAGACCCATATGCACCAGAGGAAGAAAGTTGCTCACCTCTCAAGGACAGGGATCTCAGAAGGATGGAGAATGCATTCTTCATCACCAGGAAGACAGGGGATGGGAGTCCCAAGAGTTACCTAACCCCTACAAAGGAGGGACACAAGTGAGTTCTTTGGGAGAGACAACATTGTTACTACTAAGGCTCTTCCCAGGGTGGCCTCACAGAAGAGTGAGCGTCTATAGGACTAAGCTACTGCATTTAGTCCTTCTTTAAACTAGTCCCTCATTTTACCAAACAGACTCTAAGTTACACAAAACCCACAACCAAAAAACAGTCAAACTGGATTTGAACCCAGGTCTGTCCCCTCCCCATGTTCATTGTTTTCCCAAGGGTTCTACTCTGCTTCCCCAGGGAAGGTTTGGGCAGGACCCCCAAGACATCAGCCTGGGCAGCTGGAGCCACTTCATCCCCTTGGGAAGACACCCATCCCACAAGACCCAGCTTCCTGTAATTGCCACTCCCAAGTCCTCTGGTTCCCCCAGGCTGAGCAGTGAAGTTCTCTTCTTCTGTGTCAATCACTGTGGCCCCTTCCCCAAGCCTCAGGATCTCTCCATCTCTAGATAGACAAACTGCTTTCACCAGACCTTCTGTGGTCAGATTTTCCAACCCTCTCCTGATGCTGGATGCCCTCCGCTGAACACACCTGAGTTAGTCAGGGTTCTCTCCACCGAGTCCAGAAACACAGATATAGTGACCAGGGGGAAACTGTCTGGACACTGGGCAGACGTCTCTTATGCCACTAAGATAGTATTGCTTTGATTAGTGAACTAAGCCAGAAAGAAAAATTAAAATACCGATGATTTCACTCCTAGCAGGAACATAAAGGACCAGGGGGAAAAATAATAATGATAAACATTTTATGGGAGTGGAGTGGAGAATGGGATCAAAAATGGTGGGGCGGGGGCGGGGAGTGCACTGGACTATGGTGATGGCACACAGGTGAACTGGTGATGGGAAGTCCATGGGGATTACAACTGAGATGGGAAAAGGCACAAAATGATGTAAAAATAAACTATTATAAAAGAAAAAGATAGGGTTGCTTTGAGCAGTCCTATCAAACCCGTCAGCTCCTATGAAGTCTTCACACAATTAAACCCCTCGATTTTTCTCATGCTCTGCAGCCAAATCAAGCCTGCCCCCACCGCCATGAACTTGAGTAATTAATTTCTGCAATCTAAATGTGACTTTCCATCC